AAAGGGTCATGTTCAAAATCCTACTTTTTTGTTCGAAATTTTTTGAAATGATAATAATTGTGAGAACAAGAGACATATTCGGGGAGTACCGTTATATGGGACTAGATGAAATAATGGATTGATTTCAACCATTTCCAATAGGCTTCGTCCCTGGGTAAAGAGAAAAGTATGTGCCAAATCTTATCAAAGACGGATGGCCTATTCGGAAATTCATCATTGGAAGTACAAAATCGTGCATGTTTCACATAAATCGAACCATTTCGTCATCTCTGATTAAACTCCATCATTGTCATTTAACTTTTTGTTGGATATGTATACGAAAAAATATATTACGAAAGCTTTTCTCGCATTCGTAAAAAGTATTATAAACGAAATGTTCGTAAATTTTACGAACAAAAAAATTTTTCGTACGGTTAGGTATGGATAATTTTCAGTGTGTAGAAAATAAAATTAGATCTTGTAGACAAGCTAATGAATAAATCATTGCTTTTTCACCAACATTGGAAGTACCCAGGAAAAACTTACATTGAAAAGTAATGAGTTAAAAAGCTAATAAAAGCTCTTTCCACTACTCAGTCAAATGTTCTACACACTGTACCACTGCTTAGCCATGTACTGTTGTAATAAAATTTGTAGGTGTTGTAATAAAATAAATGTCGAGCCATTAAGGGCTCCCATGGACTGTATTTTTATTTTTGAATGAGTCATTAAGGACTCGGATTGAATCATTAACTCAATGATGTTTTAATTATGATGTGTCATTAAGGACTCCTGTTTTTACTAATTGGGTCATTAAGGACCCGTTTGAGCCATGATGAGACTTCGTTTAAGCCGCTTAGGGATCTTGCTGAATTAAATACAATTTAAGAAAAAGTTATTGTAAATTGCCTCTGGTAAGAGCAAATTACCTAAATATTCTTCTTTACTTCTTTTACGATTCAATTTATTCTGTGCTAGGAATAAATGTAAATCTCTAATTATTTATATTTAAATATTACCTCGTAATACCGTGTCATGGACGATATAAAAATGAATGCTTTATTCTCGACTTTAGTTAGTTGCGGTTGTGTTACAGATCGGTAAACTAACTAGTTCCTACATCATTTATGTTCATTACGATTCCATGTTGGAATATATCTATTTTTAGTATCTTTCCTTCGCAGGAGATGGTTAATATCCAAGCAAATACGATTTTTTGAGCCAATAATTATCCTAGTATGTTTTGTCTAATTCTGGGTAAAATTAGCTGGGGATATCCGTTAGCTCCTAATAATATTTCTACAGGTCTGCTTCCGAAAAGATTCGAATCTGCCAAATTTCCCGAAATGCTTGGCAAAATAGAGGCAAAAGTATTTAATAAAAATGACGTTCTTGTACTGAACCTATTATCAAATTACAAGTCTTCGTCGAAATGGTCGAAGATTTCACTTAAACAATCATTAACTTCATCTGAGTTAGCAAGACAGTTAATGCAGCAATGAAATTTGTTAACGGTTCTACATATCTCAGAAATAGACATTCTATCAAACTGACGGCAAAAAAGAAGTAAATGACCCGGTGTTTTACATAAAACCGTATTGGATTGTAAGAAAGCTTTAACTGAATACTCTCCCAGAGGTAAGGTTCACATCATATGGGTACCAGGCCACTCGGGAGTAGTCGGCAACGAAAGGGCGAATGTAATAGCTTTAAAGGGAAGGGAGCTCGATGTAGTTAACCTGACAAACGCAAAACCATTCGACGCAACAAAAGCTGAATTAAAAATATGGATGAGAGAATCCCATAAGGCCTCTTGGAATAATGAAACGGTGGGTAGAACCACAAAGATTCTATGGGGTGACCCTGATGAGAGCAAGACGAGAAATCTTCTCAAAATGAGCAAGTCTGAGGTTAGTATGATGGTACGTATTCTCAGTGGACACACAGGATTACGAGCACATCTATACAAAATTGGACGTGCGAATTCAGACGAATGTAGAGCATGTGGAGAGGACAGTGAAACTCTGGAGCACTTTCTTTGCCATTGTCAGGCATTCGTCGAAGTTAGATCCAAGTATCTTGGAAGTGATGTTATTCCAGAAATAACATTCTTAACCAACACCGATTGGAAGATTCTTAGGAATTACGTCCAGGAAACTGAGTTTCTGAACATGGAAAAATAATACATTCAGTGAACAATTTTTTTTTTCTTGAATTGGAGCGCACAACAGGCCCGATAGTGGCCTAGGTGTATTTCTTCGGATTTGATGTAGTATACATCCTCCTATCAACCTACCTACCTACCTACCTACCTACCTACCTACCTACATAAAACACAAGCATTCGTAGGACTTGTATTCAAAACATGAGCCTTTTACTTGCGTTCAATGCTTTTCTTTTCAGTATTGGAACTTATAAGATCGCGTATGCAATCTAACGTTTGAATTCTTTCGGTCAAAAACATGTCCAAATCATTTCATAAAGATAAGGCAATTTTATCCTTAACACTTTGTTCCCATAGTGTCACTGTCTGAGAGGGAAGTCTTTGTATGCAAATAAAAACTATAATTGGGTCCCAATTTTCGGTAGGAATTTCATAAATAGACATTGCGGTAAGGAAACCATTAATTCCGCGTTGTAAAGTTTTCAATGAGGAACTAGTCTCTTCCGTTAAGTCTCTAAACCAAATAATTCTTTCAACTGATTGTTTACTATCATGCGCGGATTATCATACATGTCCTTCAAGTTCTTCCATGCAATTTCAAAACTTTGATTTGTCAACGGACCTTATCAGTTCTTTTTACCAAATAGCATAAACGTTCTATTTTACTAAGTTGTTTGTTATTAATATATAACGCGGTAAAAAGGTCCCTAAACGTAGGCCAGGAAATATAGTCACCACTAAACATGTCAATGTCACAAGGTGGGAGAGGTAAATTAGGACAAATATTGTCGAAATTCACATCCGTTAGCCTCAAGTTCGTCAATCTTAAAATCTATTAACTCCGAACAACGTATGCTACACTCCATGATACTGTGATATTTACTTTCGACTGCTTGAATATCCTCAGGCTCAGTGTTTTCAGATGATTGAAGATCATCCATGCACTTATCGAAAGTTTTTTCACTTTTTCCCATAACATTTTCAGTTCATTTTGTAGTACCTTAAAATAATAGACGTGGCGATTCTCCCCGCGAAGGTTATTGAAATTAACCTCAAATTTCACAACCATGTCCGCATCGCGAGTGATATGTTCGAGAGATGTCAAAGGCATTTTTAACAATTTTAAGATTGGATTTTATTAAGTAAAATACTATAAAAAAGGTAGCAGGGTTCAAAATTCACAAAAAAAAAATCAAATTTGTATTATAATTTTCGATGCAAACCGACCGACCGTAGGGTAACTATCAATAAATTAGTAAAAGGAGTAAGAAGAAGAATTTTATCTTTCGCAACACAATTACTAATATTAAATTTGTATAAAGAGATACTTGCTTAAAATGCAGACACTAATTATTTTGATCACAATTTGTTAATTTTTTATAACACCGAAATAATTTTCATAAAATTTAATTATTGAAAATAATTTATTTTTTTTATTTGCCGAAGAAAATGCAAATTTTAATTATGAATTATGTCTGTCCGTCCTTAGTAAACAAACGCAGCCTTGATTATAAATGTACCGATCGATGTCAAAGGGTACTGTACAATTAATTCGACTTAATAAATATACACATTTAATACAAAATCCCAAAATAAAATTTTTTAACTAATAAAATATAAGAACAAAAAATATATCTTCAGCGTTGAGAAAATATAATTATTTTCACTTCTTCGGAAGTCATTAAACATCACTTCCACAGAAGGTAAAAAATTCACTTAGTGCTACTTTTGAAGTGGTAATAAATGTTATTCTTTTGGAAATACTTCGTTTTATTTTTGCTGGGTTGTGTTACTTTAAATTCAAAAACAAAACATGCATAAATTAGTTTAAATTGTTCATGTAATTAAATTAATATCGCTTTCCAACTGTGAAAATAAATAAACAAGACAATCAATCTTTAAATGGGTAAATGGTACTGTATTTATACCCTACACCACTTTAGTGGGGAGGGTATATTGGATTTGTGCTGATGTTTGTAACATACAAAAATATTCGTCCTATAACCACCTTAAAGTATACCAATCGGCTTAGAATCGTTTTCTGAGTCGATTAAGCTGTATCCCTCCGTCCGTCTGGCTAGCTGGCTGGCTGGCTGGCTGGCTGTCCATGTAAACCTTGTGCGCAAGGTACAGGTCGCAATTTTCAAGATAATTGGATGAAATTTGGCACGCACGTTTTATTTGACCTAAGGAAATGAAAATGGTTAAAATCGGTCCATTATTTCACCTAGCCCCCATACAACAGAACCCCCCGAAAAGGACTTCTGAGCTCATAATTATGTTAAATATACAGATATATCGATAAAATACGGAACAACTAAGTTTTATAGAAGTCTTGATGACCCTGCCAAATTTCATAAAGATCGGGCCACATTTGACCCTAGCTCCCATACAAAGTCCCCTTCAGAAAATTACTATGTCCCAAATTAGCTTATGAACACAAATATCGCGATGAAATTCAGCACAATAAAATATTATTTCAATATAAATATATTCACAAAATTTTATCGGGCTTGGTCCATATTTGCCTCTAGCCCCCATATAAAGCCTCTTTCAGAAAATTAGTTTTTCATCCATAAATTGCTTAAATGTATCGGAACAAGGGAATATTGAAGATAAATGCTTTATTATGAAAAATAAATCACATTTAATATTCATAACTGGTGTAGGGTATCATATGGTCGGCCACGCCCGACTATAATTTCTTACTTGTTTTACGATATTAATATTTGTATAAGTCATTACATTATAATCTTAAATATTTCCTATTAGTTAATTTTAATAAATATAACTTTAACTTTAAATGGGAGTAAAGTTTGGGAAAATTTTCTATAATTTTTGTATTAAAAATTCAATATTTTAAATTAATTTTTTATTAACAAATTATAAATCATATATTACATAAAATCACACAAATACTGACATACATTAAAGCCAACAACTTTGCCAATGTAAAGTACAAACTCTAGACCGACAGTACACTGAAGGCGAGCAGATCCGTCCATAACGTTGCTTTCACCACTAACAAATCCAAGCAGCTTCAAGTGGACTAAAGTAGAAATTTGTGAGAGGAGATTACATGTTAAGCCAACTTTTTCATCGAGTATAGCATAAAAAATTGCCAACAAACGATCTATGCTAAAAGACTTGGGTCCTAGTGATGTAGACATTTTCTCCGACACCTTAAAAATTGTATACAAATGTATGTATAAAGAATAATTTTAAATGCATATTTACAATAATACACGTATAAGGTCACATTAAAATATTCGAAGTATCAACAAAAAATATTTTTTTGTTTTATTTTTAAGGTTTAATAAACATAGCAAACCATCAAATTTGATGGCGTATTCCCTACCAAATAAAAATCAAGTGAAGTACTATTTTTAGTATATAAATTAGTTCATAATTCTGTTAATTATAATACTATTCCTTCCAAAATCGGCAGATCTATAATGTACATAAGCCTAAACCATTATGACGATTTTCATAACGATTGGACCTCATTTGACCCTAGTTCCATTCAAAGTTTAATTTCAGAAAAACACTTAAACGTCCGTAACTCACTTATAATCACTAGTATTATAATAAAATTTGGCACAAATAAGTTTTATATGAATAAAAATACCACCCCAAAATTTTATGAGGATCGGTCCATATTTGACCCTAGTCGCCATATAACTTCCGTTTTTTAATTTTATCAATAAATTGCTTAAACTCATTATAAAATTATATTATTTTATTTATTTAAAAATTATGGATTACGAATGAAAAATATGTCCCATAGAGTAAGAAATTAAAACAAAAAAGATAGAACTACAGAATTCGGAGATTTTCGTAAATATTTACATGTATCTTAAAAACACTTTCGTTTTTCGTCACGTATGATATTGCCATATTTTAATCCATATTTTGGAAAACAAGAATCCGAATGGGATGTTTCCTTTTGCAAATGTAGTATTCTCAGAATGGAGCAGAATGTCAATATTGTTTTCCAAGTACTCCCATTTTTACCAAATCTATACCACTCTGAAGACGTACGAACGTCACATACAATCGTATGGAATTGCCCATATGTCATTATTGTAGCTTAAAACCAAGTGATGTTAATATATTCGTATTCCGAGTGAATGCGCAAAGACTCTTTTTAAAATTGCTTTTTTGCTACGTTGTATATGTATTTGTTTCTACCTCGAATGATTTAATTACACTGTGCAACAAGAAAATCTTTCCCGAATGAGACTACAACACATAGGCATTAATTACAGTCTAAAATGATTAAAATCGGATAAATATGTTAGAATATATACAATATAAAATTTAATCCTTTTTAGAAAAACTGTTAGAAATATGAACTTTGAACCTCGACAATCATAATCGTAACGAATTTGGAAATTTTGGAGAACTTAAAATTTTTACATGTATGAAAAGATATGTGTACCGAATTTCATCAAAATCAGAGAATATCATGCTTAAAATTTTATGATATTACATATGAGAAAATTTTACTGAAAAAAGCTAAGTTTAAAATGTCTATAAATTAACAATACGAGCTAACTTTTTAAAACCCTTTAGGGAATTAGGTGTATTAATTGTCTACTTTCATTTCCCGTTGGTCTTGTTCGGGAAAGATTCGAAGAACCAAAATTTGTTGCATAGTGTTATATGAATATTTCTGCATTCATCATTACCTTTGCTTTAGCGTTAACTGTTTGCATACGCTTTCGTTGCTTTCCATGATGTTTAACGAAGAGACGTTTATCTTCTTTGGCCGAGTTGTGACTAGCTAAGAAGGCAGCAATTAATAAGTATTTTCCATAAAAAGGCAACTCCAAAGATTGGGCCATTTTTCGAACGCTTTGGTCTGAATAATTGACATCAGTTGCAACAGTTAAATTCTAGAAATAATTAAATATTTGCATCTCTTTACTTACAAGGTTTTAAAAAGAAAAAAATATTAAAACGTGTTCAGTTTTCAAATCGCACACTACAAATGTATGTATATTTAAGAAACAAAAAATGCTAAAAGCTGTTAAATTAAATATGGTCGCAGAATTCAATCATAGTTATAAGTTTTGTAAAGGGCAAAGGAATTATTAATTGGTCTCATGAAATTCAAAAGACGTCGGTTTTATGTTTGATCAAAAATTTAATGCTTTATCGAATTTTGTTATTGCACATTAATGTTTGATAAATGTGGAAAAAAATCACTAAAACCATAAAAAAGGAACTTTTATCCTTAGAGAAATGATATCATAGAATAAACTAAACAATACGCATTATTGTTCGAACCACTGAACACTGTTCGAACCTACATAAGTAAATTTTTCTGACAATGTATACAAAGGCCTATATTTTCTATTTAAATTAATTTATTCAAACATAATTGATTCGTATAATATAATGTGCCTGCATTATAATAATTAAAATAAAAGTTTAATTCCATTTCGCTCTGAGTAACAAGAAAATAAAAACAGAACTCCATAATTATACATATGTGAAACTTAATCAACATTTTGCTCTTCGTATGAAAATCTTTGTTCCTTATGAGCTTCAAACACCCTTATGGAATAGATTAGTTACTACTGTCCCACTCGGATTTTAAGCCATTCACCAACTGCTTTGTTTTTTTAAACAGCAATTTCTGACACTTCGCTTTAAAATGCCAAACAGCTTTGCTAAGAAATTTGTGTCAGAAGATTTTGAAGTACAATCAAAAATTTAAGTCCTGTTATCCGACAGCTACTCTTGGGTCAAAGGTGTTGGTTTATTATCGCGCAGAAAATCGCATTAAAGTATCTTGTATTATTCGGAGTACGCAACCATATGATTCATTTGGTTGTTCAAAAATTTTCCCGAAAGCAAAATAATCCATTTTTTTTTTGTTTTTCAACATCAGGAATAAGTCTACTCGTCAAAACACATGTCCACATACTAAAATTTTTTTCTCCATGTTATATTGGTCCTTTACTATAAGAGTATGTTATAATTTCCTCCTTACCCTTTGACCCTCTCATACTCTGAATGAATTTAAGAAGGAATATTTGGACCCGTTTGTAAATAAAACTGCATTTTTATTAATTTTGCGTAATCTTTCCACATAAAATTGTATAACACTTATGAAAAATCGAATTATTTAAGCAAACCCGTTCGTTGGATTGTTATACCTCTGGGACATTTTTGGCCAACCAAATGAATAATATGGTTGAGTATACCGAATAGAAGTCTTAATTTTAACAGGGTTTTCAGCGTGATAATGAACTAAAACCTTTGGCAAATTTGATCTAAGAGTAGTTGTCGGGACACAAATTATTTGATTGCACTTCAAAATTTCTTTGTTTCTTCTTTAAAAAACATAGCAGATGTTGAATGGCCTAAAATCCAAGTGGGAATCATAACCAACTACACTAGTAACTAATCTATTCCATAGGGGTGTTTGGAGCTCAAGTTTCGAACACCTTTTTATGGAGTTAATTCAGTATTTATTTTCTTGTTAATCCGAGCGAAATGGAATCAAACTTTTATTATGCTATCCCCCATTTTCAACAAGTTCAGTTATAATTTAACTTTCAAGATATATTGACAGTTCTAATACAAAAATTGTCTTAACTGGATGAATAACTACCAGTTAAACGATAACTGGAGGTAGCGAAAATGGGGGTAATTTGTGTAAATCAATTAAAATAGAAAACAAATTTCTTTGAATAAATTTTCAAACAAAAATTCCGCGAATTTTAATATGAATTAAATTAAATAAAATATAATCGAGGTGTCATAGATTCATCTCACTATTAGAATTGGATTTGAAAACAATAAAAACTTAATGAATGTTATAGATTTTTTGTTAGGTAAATAATTTTAGGTCGAACTAATTGGATTCTATGACTACCATAATGATGGATATAACATGTTAAAATGAAACATTAGTCAATTTACATTTATGTACTGTTTTAAACTGGTGTTTTATCAGTTTCTGAAATGAAAAGTTCTACGTATACTAACTTTTTCTTCAGATTTATCGTAGCGCATATAGACCTGAGATAAGGCAGCACGTAACGGTGCCGCTATATTACGCCAAAGTTTTGAAACATCGGTTATATCTATAGATTTGTTCAGTACTGGCTCCATGTAAGTAATAAAACAGTTACAAGCCGTTATTTTTAGTTCAGGAACATCGCGGCAGGCCTTGTAAAATACACTCAAAAATATGTTGAGGTAATTATTAAAGAAATCAGGATTTATTTCGTTTACAATGTCAACTTGTGATAATTCTTTATCCATATGCTGTGCCCGTATGTGGCTTCTTAGCATTTGACGAGCCATTTCAAATTGTGTGCTTAAAATTTTTAATGTTTCTGCCTTGGAATACTGTGGACAATGGAGTGTTATGACCTCTGTTAATCCAGTCTTGGAGTAAAATTTTTCAAATGGAATTTGCGATATTAAGATCACACATATATTAAGACCTGTCATCTCCTGCAACCGCAGTAATGATGGTATAATATTTCCATCCATATCACGTAAGCGATCGGCATTATCCAAAACTATAACATAGCTTTTATGCTCATACTTGTTAACGCCTCTCAAGTGCTCTATAAATTCTTTTAGAGTATCGCAACGTAAATTTTGATCGCCACTATCAAAAATCAATTCTTCTACAGTATTCTCTAAAAGGATTTTCGAAGTATAACATTCAACGCAATTAACGTGTACGCAATTAATTTGTTTCTCCTTTTTGATAAGTCTCAAAAAATCTTTTATAATGGCAGTTTTCCCAGTTCCAGCATGTCCATAAACAAAGATTGCCGGTGGAAAAGACTCTTCCTTGTTTGGAATCAAATCAAAAAGATTTTTAATAAAACTATTACGACAAGGATACTTGTTTTCCAAAATGTCTATCATCGTTTTTTTTTTTTTTTTGCAACTGTTTTTATTTTCTTCAAATTATACTTTGTGGTTAAAATTTTCTATAAACTGAAACAAATAAACGAAAATTCAAACAAACAGATTCAGAGCCCTGCGCCGACAAATATTAACGGCGGCGGCGACTGATACCAAATATGTCGGCGGCGGCTTAAAATCGACTGTAAGCCGGCTAAGTTTTCAACTACGTTTAGTTTTTAAATTTTCAACGATTTTAAATAAAAACGGAATCCCAGAGATCAGAAAGTAGGATTTTGGAAGCAAATATATTGTTTATAACAACAAAACAGAGCAAGCTCAAAAGTTGTGTGAGAAATTATGCAGGGATGAATAAAAAATTCTTAAAAATTAAAAACAAATCCTTTCTCCAAGTTTTACGAGGTTCTGCCGATATTTAACCCTATCCTCCATATAAAACATCTTGCAGAAAATCAGTTTCTAAAAAATTTTGCATTAAGAAAATTATCAATAACGTAAAAACAAAGATATTTTATTTGTTTATTTACTAGCTATACCCAGTGTGCTGTGCTACCCTAAAAGCAATATAAATGGCTTAAGGATTTTGATGATTCTAACTACAATGGTTTTCCAGATATACAATTTGTTACATATGGGAGATTCCACGCAAATTTTTGCAATTTCTCTAAATGTTCTTCAGTAAAATTTGAAGACTCTAGCTCTAATAGTTTCTCAGATATACGAATTTTTCTATTTAATTCATATGGGAGTTCCAAGCCCCCGCAGATGAAAGTCCGCCCTTTTTTCTCCAAAATGTTCAGATGAATATTAAAATTCTTCGTGCAAAATTTGAAGAATTTAGTTCTATTAGTTTCCCAGATAAACGAATTTTTGTATTTAATTCATATGGGAGGTTCCGCTCCCCTCATTGGTAGTCCCCCAATTGATTACCCAAAATGTTTACATGGATGTTAAAGTTCTTCCAGAACAACATCCTTTAAAAGGATCACAAAGAGATTGAAAAATATTCCAAAAGTTTCACTTTGAAAACATTATTAGAGTGTATGAAAACTCGCAACTCTAAAGGCAGACTATTCCTATTTTAGCTGTAATTTCTTTATGAATAAAATAAGTAAGGAGTAAGAGTTATATTCGGCAAATCATTTGTCGTAAAAAAGCAAATATGGACTTTGATCATTAGATTAATAAGAACGTCACCGTGATTTTCGGATTAGGGACCTAAATGTGGAATTTGGTCAATTATGGACAAAGTTCTCTATAATTTAAAGTACTTTTTTTAATTCTACCATAATTCTATCATAATGATAACTTTTGGAATGATATATTAGCTATTAACTAATTTTCTGTAAGAGGGTTATAATGGCGGACCGATCCTCATAATTTTATTTTTCATAAATGTAGGTTTCGGTTCCTAAAAATGTTTTTTTCGTCGACATCGACATTTGAAAGCCATTATGTGCGTTTAAGTCATTTTCTGAAGAAGATTTCATATACATATTTACATTGCATATTTTCGTTCCAACAAAAATTGTTTTATTATGGTATTATTAAGTACGTAGAAAACGTTAAAATCAATTATTGAAGGGGCAGGGTCAATTATGGCCTATAGAGATTTCGATTGATATCGAGCCCTTTTTGCAAAATGGACGTAAGCGAGATGCATTTTCATTCAATTAGGATATTGCGTCATTAATTTTATGTTTATATATTTAGAGCGGGTTTTTGAGATGGTAATCAAATGTCAATTAATAATCAGATTAGTTAATCTAAAAATAAATTTAATCCATTGTTAATCCCCTTTGATGTTTTGAGTACAAGATTAAACTTCGCAGTGTTGCGATACAAAACAACAGAAAACTTCACTGTTTGTTATCAATGCATATTTTATAAAAAGAAGAAGACAATTGTAAATTTAATATGAAAATTAATGAAAACTTAAATTAAAAACAAAAAAATGTATTTTGAAGTGTCCAAAATTTATACTAATCAATAAATAGAACATTTTATTGTTTATATTTATAAAAATTTTATTAATTTTTTTGCATCAGCTGTTTACACTTTTGCATTTCGTGCTTAAGATTAAACCACCTCCATTGGGCGCTTAAACTTGCAAACAAAATTAACTAATTGAGTACTCAAAAACATCTTTCGAGGATTAATTTTAATTTAATCACTAATCTTTCACCTAAAGATTGGCCCTTAATATTTTAGAAAATTCAAAAAGTACCAGTTAAAGAACGAAAAATTACCAGAAATACTCCAGTTTAAATTTTCATTCACTCAAGTCCCTGATTGCTTAGTTTTATGTTTTTAGGTTCATTATAAAAGAAAATTCAAATAGTACCAGTTGAAGAACGAAAAAGTACTAAAAAGTCCCTTTCTATAGATTATAATTTACTCCAGGCTCTACATATTTATTTTTATGTTTCTAGGTTTAATTTTATGGAAAACTCAAAAAGTACCAGTCGAAATTTTGTAGCAAGCTCAAAAAGTACCAGTCAAAGAACGAAAAAGTACCAAAAAGTGCCATTCACCCAATTTACACGATGATTTTTTTTCATGTTTGCCCAGACGTCTGTTTTCATGTTTCACCCAATTTACACGATGATTTTTTTTCATGTTTGCCCAGACGTCTGTTTTCATGTTTGTCGATGATTGGTGGTGAGCGGGGTAGAGAAGAATGGGGGGTAAGAAAACAAACATGGGCGCAATTTACATGAAGACTTTTCAGACGTCTGTTTTTTCCAATTCTCTTTTGAGAATCTTCCAAAAAATCATGAACATTTATACGGTGATTTTTTACATGCAACTATGCATGTCTTTTTTTGATGTTTAATTGTATAATCCTTTTTAATTACTTATTCGTAATAAAAATAAAATGAAATTTTTAACATAAAAACCATTTAATTTGATTTAAAAAAATTTAATTACGCGCTTTAGTATTTTTTAATGCAAATTTTAATGTTTTCATGTAAAAAAAAGACATAATTATTTTTTTACATGAGCATAATATCAACAGTACGAATGAGTTTAAAGAGGAATGTCAAAAACAATCACGAAAATCCCAAATCATGTTTGTTTTCTTACCCCCCATTCTTCTCTACCCCGCTCACCACCAATCATCGACAAACATGAAAACAGACGTCCGGGCAAACATGAAAAAAAATCATCGTGTAAATTGGGTGTTGGTATCGGTGTTTCAAATAACACCCCATTACCATATTTAGTGTTTCTTGAATAAAATCAAATTTCCCGTTTTTACCCCTTTTGGTACTTTTTTTCTCCCCATTAACGAAATAAAAGTTGCAACATCGTATTGGGACTCCCGTTATTATGTATTCATATGTATTACCCCATTTACATGATGATTTTTTTCATGTTTGCCCAGACGTCTGTTTTCATGTTTGTCGATGATTGGTGGTGAGCGGGGTAGAGAAGAATTGGGGGTAAGACGCAATTTACATGAAGACTTTTCAGACGTCTGTTTTTTCCAATTCTCATGATTTGGGATTTTCGTGATTGTTTTTGACATTCCTCTTTAAACTCATTCGTACTGTTGATATTATGCTCATGTAAAAAAATAATTATGTCTTTTTTTACATGAAAACATTAAAATTTGCATTAAAAAAATACTATAGCGTGTAATTAAATTTTTTTAAATCAAATTAAATGGTTTTTATGTTAAAAATTTCATTTAATTTTTATTACGAATAAGTAATTAAAAAGGATTATACAATTAAACATCAAAAAAAGACATGCATAGTTGCATGTAATAAATCACCGTATAAATGTTCATGATTTTTTGGAAGATTCTCAAAAGAGAATTGGAAAAAACAGACGTCTGAAAAGTCTTCATGTAAATTGCGCCTTACCCCCCATTCTTCTCTACCCCGCTCACCACCAATCATCGACAAACATGAAAACAGACGTCTGGGCAAACATGAAAAAAATCATCGTGTAAATTGGGTGTAAGAAAACAAACATGATTTGGGATTTTCATGATTGTTTTTGACATTCCTCTTTAAACTCATTCGTACTGTTGATATTATGCTCATGTAAAAAAATAATTATGTCTTTTTTTTACATGAAAACATTAAAATTTGCATTAAAAAAATACTATAGCGTGTTATTAAATTTTTTTAAATCAAATTAAATGGTTTTTATGTTAAAAATTTAATTTTGTTTTTATTACGAATAAGTAATTAAAAAGGATTATACAATTAAACATCAAAAAAAGACATGCATAGTTGCATGTAAAAAATCACCGTATAAATGTTCATGATTTTTTGGAAGATTCTCAAAAGAGAATTGGAAAAAACAGACGTCTGAAAAGTCTTCATGTAAATTGCGCCTATAAGTTAATAAACCAAAAACAATGTTTTATAAAAAAGTACCAAAAATAGGTACAATTTTCACCCCTTAAACGTCCGAATATCCAAAAAGTACTAAATTCATATTTTTATTTGTTCGTCAAGTTATGAAGGATTCAAAAATATTTTTTGAATGTTCTCTGGTTTAAAAGATACATGGGGTGCAAAAGAAGTACCAAATTACAGTTTTTAAACGTTTATTTCCCAAAGGGGCCGAATTTGAAAAAATTACCGGACACCTGTCCGCTTTTTTTTTAAATGAGCGACGATAAGCTTTAACTGTTTTTGTAACTTTTCTAGTTTAGGGGATTTGAGGTTACCGAATTTACGTTTTTACCCTTTTTTAGCCCAAAAAAAAATTCGAATTTCCAAAAATCCCGTCTTATTGGATACATTTGGTGGGAGACCAACCTCCCGTTTAGGCTCTACGATAATGAATCAGTCAGTCAGTCAGTCAGTAAGGTTAGAATTTTATATATGTATGTATATAGATTTCGTGCATTGAATTATACTGTAAAAACATTGTAATGTTCGACTTGAATTCAAGTTTCGTTTTCACTGGAGAATGCTATTGATTTAAAGTGTATTTCAACACTTGAAATTTGAATGTTTGACTGGAATTAAACTTGTTTTAAACTTTAATTCCAGCAAGAATGCTTATTTGGTATAGTGTGACAACTATAAGGGACCTAAAGTCGACATAAAGCCCACAATGGTTAGTACCAATATTTT